TATCACTGCTCATACCCTAATCCTTTGTGGGGCAGAGGCACTTCAAGTTCTATATCTCAATCTAAATCTGAAGCTGTTTGAAGCTGTCTCTGGATTACATATTAACATGATGAATAACCAGATCTACCCTATCAACGAAGTCTACTTTGAATACCCTGGCACGGAATCCTGGGGTATGGCACATGCTCTTTCCACTCTACTTAATTTGGTCTCCCTTTGGATGCAAAATACAAAGCACATGAGATATGAAATGTAGTGATGGAAAAGGTGGAGAAGACGCTGGCAAACTGGAACATGCAATATCTATTTATGGGAGGAAAGCTAACCCCATCAATAGTGTATTGGACAGCGTACCTACCTACGTCCCTCATCCCAATGTCATATGAGGTGAAAGAGCAACTAGTTGGTCTGAGAAGGGCTTCCTATGGGAAGGAAACCGTGAAGAGCATTAATTCCACCTTGTGAAGTGGGATAAAGTCTTATTGTCAAAGGAACAGGGAAATTTGGGCATTAGCGATCTTTAGAAACACAACAATAACATTAAGGGAAGAAACTATCTCTCCAGATATTTTGCAAGAAAAAAGCCTAATTACAATGTAACTTAAGCCCAGATTAAATCGGGATGCGAAAAGAAGAAACCCATTTACAATGACACCCATTTGTAATCTCTAGTCAGAATGAGATTAACTTGATTGAACCTGGTAGCCATCTCCTCACTTAAAGTGTCTTATTATTCTCCATCATAACCCAGTGTTTCCTCTAACTTGAATATTACGCCATCAAGACTATGACTTCACCAGTAAAACAAAGACCTATATTAGCCAGTTATTCTCTAATTTGAATGAAATATTATAACTTCAAAATTAGAACCACATGAGATGGGATAAGCACAGTCATTCCACTGTCAGCAATTCTCCCAACTAAACTCTTTAACAGATCCACATTTCCTATGCTTTTCCAATGCAATACTGAATGCTAAGTAATCATATTTCTATTATCTGACATGTCTACTCTACTTCTATATTTTATTTTTTAAAACCGCCTCCACCAGGCACGACTAAAGTCTGCGTAAACTCTATCCTCCCAAACCCCACTGTTGGATTAACAAAAACTGTTACTTTTACACCCTAAGAGCAATAAAGTATATTGGTCAGATTATAAATGTCAATACAAATTCCCTTCTATTCAAGACCATGTCTTCAAAAACCTCTAAAGGAAAATTAAGAATTCTCCAAACACAATTAATTCCAACACAGATAAATTCTTATACTCCTAATAGCAATGAAAAGGGTAAAAAGAAGAAACCTGAAAGACAGGAACACAGAGATGTTCAAAGCAGATCGGGCAATCCAACACATCTGGATCCAATAACGTCACAGAAATTGACCTGTTTTTGATTGAATCCTCGAAATTCTGATACACGCTCTCACCAGAAATAGACCTGTTCTCTCTTAAAACCTCGGATTCACGAACTGGCACCCTCTGATCACCGCTCGATCGAAAATTTCCCTCAGATTCCGATCCCCAATCCTTCTCCTCTGCCTCTTCCTCTACTTTTTCCTGAACAACCCTTTCCCTTTCTCTTTCTTCTACTTCTTCTTGTTGACGGATTACGACGCCGCGAGAGAAATTTCCGGCGGTAGTCCTCCGTCTCTTGCATACAGATGTGCTGGAGTTACAGGGTCCTCCTTCATCATTATCATGTTCATCTCTTCCAACTGAAAATCTCGCCATTTCTTCTTCTTCTTCGTTGCTAGATGAATGGTTCACTCTTATCATGGTCAAAATTCGGTTTTTGTAAATATTATTTTAATATCTTATTATATTATTATTA